GAGGGGACTGACTGAGAGTCTCAGATCATAAGTGGGCAGGGGTAAGAAGTGTTCTTAGCTAGAAAACTGCCCAATGGGGAACTCAAGGACCACAGATGCAGTGTGATAGTCTCTGTGGGTGAGGCTGCAGGGCACTCCAACTGCCATAGCCCAGGGTCCCTCACAAACTTCCTGCCCAGGAAAACTTCTCCTTCCATTCAGACAGCAGGTGTCATTGATTCCAGAAGGGCAGGGAACCCAGGAAACCTTAGCCAACATAGATTTGGGCCTCTGGGGGATCTTCTGAATCGTTATCACTCTCACACTCTCTGTGTGTAGCCTCAGCTCATTGTTTTCAAGTCAACACAGAAGACTTTTGCTTATCTTCATGGTTTGGTTGGTACTCCATGATAAGGGAGCACATGTGGGGTGTTCTTCATTTTCCAGGGTCAGGTTTGAAGATGACTGGGTTCTTTTGAAGACAGGAAGGAGAATAGCACACAGTTAGGAAGGGGCTCTACTCATATTGTCATTGGAACTTAGGCAGCTGTCCTGATTAATACATGCAAGTGTTGAAGTGTGGTACACCTCCCATTCTTTGACCTCACTCTGCATAATGTCCTGGTGAACAGGAATGTGCTCCCAACAACCTTGCTACAGGTAGCAGCTGGTGCAGGCCTGAGTCTCTGTGACACTTTCCTTCCCATTATTAGGAGTGCAAAGGAAAAGGACATCAGAATGGCTCTAATTCCCAGGCCCAATAAAAAAATGACCAGTGTCTGTGAAAACCTCTGGAAAACCCCAATCCTCACCATCCCATCAACTTCATAAACCTCAGTAACCTTTGCTAGTCAGCCCAGGAGAGGATCTCTGGGACTCAGTGTCTATCACATAGACCTCTTCCCTGGGAAAGGAGCTCCCTGCATTATGGCAGGAACCAGTGAGCACTAGGATCACAGATGGCCAGGATCTGTCCCCCATTAGTGTTAGGTGTGGGAAGTGCTGGGTGAAGCACCCACATGCTGGGCAGGATGTGCTCCTGGGTGAACTACAGAATTCCTCAGCCTCTAGCTAGGCAGAGATCTAAATCAGGTGTTTCTTGTTTGTGTGTGGATGCCTAGGAGAAAAGTGGAGGGGTATTCAAGGAGTATTAGCAAAAGGAAGGCTGAGGAGGTGATGGGGGAGTAATTTTTAGAACCTGTCACCTTCACAAGTGACCCTAAAGTCCCTGCATCTGCCCTGGAGAAGATCCCTTTCCTGTTGGTGAGAATGAGGAGGGGCATGGTGCCACTGAATAGAGTCAAATTGATCCATTTCTAGGGAGTCACCTAGGAGGCCAATGGAGTGTCTGCAAAGGATGCACAAGGGGCCTCTCAGAATCAGGGAAAGCTGAGGTGTCACAGTCAACTGGGAATCCTGGTGTACTGAAAATGAGATTTCTCTGGGTAGAACTATGACTAAAGGAACGCAGCATGAAATTCACTCAGGGACATTTGCAAACTGCACAATTTCCCTGTCCAAGGGCCCTGAGCTGTGAGCATTTGTTCTCAGATTTCCACTGAGTAAGAAACTGGGGGTCCTCAATCCTGCTGTCATTTTCCCTCCTCCATTCTCCGCTTTGCTTTGCCTCCACAGCATCTGCATCACGGAGACCAGGCATGAATTTCAATCCTGGTGACCACATGTCTGCATTCAGGGGCCTACCCTTTCTTCCAGCTGCCCCTGTGCCAACACACCAGCCATTCTGGGAGTTGCCCCTGGCACCAAGGATGACTGCACCTATCTCCCAGGGTAACCCTCTAGTGCTGTCCACTTACCCTGGACAATCATATGTGCCAGGGCTGTCCACCTTTGGAAAACATGGGCCACAACTGAGGCCAGTGGGGCCTCCTCATATTCAGAACATTACCCACACTCAGGCACCGCTCAACTGGAGGGCCCCAGGGGCCTTCTGTGGGGGTGTGGAGCATCCTGCTCCATTCCTCACAGCACCTTCTGCCCTGAGGACCACTGTACCTGCCTCAGACAGTGGAGAGATTCAAAACTATGGGATCCACTGGCACCTGGGCCTTCGCCCTCCAGCACCACGACCATTTGCCCAGATGGCCCCCATCATGTTCCCTATGAATGCGCGCCAATGGCCAGGTACAGTGTATGGGGAGGGCACACTACCCAACTTCCCAGCTGCAGTGCCACTAGATGACTCCAGCAGACCACCCAGCGTGTATGAAAACTTCCGGCGCTGGCAGCGCTTCAAGACCCTGGTCCGCAGGCACCTTCCTCAGACTCCTGATGTGGAAGCACTTTCCTGCTTCCTCATGTGAGTGTTCTCTTCAGGCTCCCCCTTGAGCTCTGTCAGGAGGAAAAGCATGGGTTGGAAAGAGGAGGCTGGGATGTAGGGGATCTGGAAGGAAGGTCCTGAGGGTGAGGGGACAAGCTGAGACCCTTACATTCCCAGATGTACTCCCCTCACACCAGGGAATAAAATGTGCCTTATGTCAGGTGCCCATCACAGGCCTGTGAGTGCAGGCAATCTTTGTTTCCAATGATCATCACCATCACACGGAGGACTCAAGGTCAGAGGAGGTTCCTGGGGGTAATGTGGGCCAGGAATCGAAGTTGGCTGTCTGACTTCATGCCTCCCCCAGTCATTTCACCTTCCACCATAGACCTGATTGTTCTCAGCACAAGGGATGTCCCAACCACAAGTGGGTTTAGTGGTGCTGGCCCCAACACAGAAATCTATGGCTACCCATACACATTGTCATGAACTCCTGATCAGGACCCTCTGGTGATGTCACACTCGAGGGGAAGCTGTCTTTGGATACTGCATGGGCATGTTCAACTTTGCCCCAGTTTGTAACTGCTCCCAGGCCATTCTGTGCACTGTCTTCAGTCAGCCTGGGACACCATACATGACGCTATGGAAAATTTGTGAAAAAACAAAAAGGCATTCCTTTCTCACAGTTCTTTAGTCAGGATTCCCAGGTAAAGGGTAACTGACCTAAAATCCCATGATTGCTCTCTCTTCTCCTTGCTTGAAAAGACAGCTGGCTCACCTGTGTCCTCACAGTGTCTCCTCCTTCTCCCAGAAGAACACTAATGCCCTCATGAAGCGCCACCCTCAGGATCTCATCTAACCTTCTAAGCACTAAATGCAGTCTCCAGATACCATTCCATTGGGGGTTAGGGCTTCAACAGGTGAATGTTGGGGGATAAAAACATTCATCACATAGTACACCTCAATGATATTTGAGGAATCCAATCACAATCATGCTGGTCAATGCAGCCCTTGGTGTTAAAGTTTTGTATAAGTATCCTGGAGTCCCAATGTCAATAGTTTGAGTTGAACATCATGGGCAAATATAACAAAGGTAGGAAATTATGTTGTTGGTCTACTGATAAAGGAGGGTGACCTTGTGGACACTGATCCTGATGAATTCCAGCCCAGTGCTTCGGTCTCTGTCCTGACGAGAGCCCACCATGACCATGGAAGAGGGCCTGAGGAAGGGTTTGCAGGAATGGCAGCGCACCAGCAACTTTGATCGGATGGTCTTCTATGAGACTGCAGAAAAGTGAGCCAGTTTTCAAGGCCCAGAGCCTACTGATGGGGGATCATGGTTTGCACAGCAAGGTCTGGTACAGCCTGTCACCTACCTATGTTTTGGCTCCGAGGCATCTAGCTCTCCAAATAGCGGCTCCTTCTAGCTTGAGGCCTGGGCATTCTCTCGGCAACAATCCCAGAAACTCCAGGCTTCATACTCTTGATTCCAACTCTGCCTTGAGGTTCAGGGTCAGGATGGGGAGGAGGTACCAGCCCAGCCAGAGGGTCTGCTGCTGCTTTGCTGGCTCTGCAGAGGGGAAAAGTTGCACTAGATTCACTCGGGCCACCTGCCTGGGAACTGGTACGTCCATTATAACTCATCAAAGTGGCCACTACTTCAAGCTGATGTTCCAGAAGAGGGTGGTGGTGGGGAGTGCATGGTCAGGGCCAGCCACCACCTCAGGTGCCCCCAGGACATGTCTCTGGTCCTTACTGCCTTTGCTCTATGTAATCCCAGCCTTTCTAACAAGGGAAGGGAAGAACCCACCCTCATTGGAAGCAACCCCATGCTCTCAGCTTAGCTTCCACTTCCACATGACCCTGCCTGTAACTTGGTCTCCCAGGCGATCCTTTCAGGGCCCAAGGTCCCAGCCTCAGTACCCCTGAATTGGGTCAGGACACCTGGTGTTCCCTGATATAAATCACATCCCTGACCAGTTTCTACAACTAAACTGATCATGTGCTTCCTGGCAGAAACAGGAGAGAGCCAGAACAAGGATCAGCTAGGGGCCCTGCTTGGGTCCCTCAGATCTGATTCCCTTAAGGTGCTAGTTGATGTAGTGTTTCCCGAGAACTGTAGTTCTTCCTCTGTAGCAGCTCCCTCCTGTCACTGGCCAGACCTACTCCAGGAAGCAACCCCACATTCCTGCCACTAGCTCCTGACTGGTAGCTTAGAATACTCCATAGCCTAGAATCCCACACCAGCACCTGCCTGGTATGGCTAACCTGATTCTCAGCTCAGCCTGTGCCTGCCTTACCCAAATCCCATCAAGGTTCATGGAGTTTGAGGCTGCAGAGGAGATGGAGGATCCAAGGATGCAGTTGTCAGGGGTCTTCCAGTGCCGACCTCCTCCTGCAACTCCGAGGCTGGAAATCCGAAGGCCTCCAGTCCCTGAGGCTGTCCAACAGCCAGGTAGGGTACCCACATTCACACAGTAGTCCATGATAGTGTCCAAACAGTGAAAAAGGCCAAGGCAAGTTGTTGTCCCAAATAAGAACTTTCCCTTCAGTATTGGAGATTCACTCTTACAAGAAAAAAAAAGCCCCTAACACCTGAGGTCCCTGCCACCCAGCTATGAACTGTGTATTGACTGGGCCAAGTACAGATCTCCTTTCTCTCCTTGTCTATCCAAAGAAACAACACAAGATCTGCCTGGGACTTGGGTCCTGGTAGGGTAGAGTGCATGCAATACCAGTCACTACAAATGTCCTCCCACTTGACTCTCCTAGATGTTGCATCTGGTGCACTATTATATCCCT